CCGAGCCAGAGAAAAAAATGTCGGATGAGGAAGTGAAAAAGGTATTCCGGGATGTTACTGGGGATAATGGTGTCGAATTATCATCTGAAATAACTAGTTCTTGACAAGCGTTTAATAATGAGGGCTCCGAATTAAAAACCGCCGAACAAATTAAAGAATTTTTAACCGAAAATATTAAAGAGGATGAAAAAGCAGAATTTGTTAAGCATTTAAGTGAGTTATCCGAGGTTGAACAACCAACTGGTAATACTGAGGAGGAAAAAGCGAATAACTTCTTGACAACAAAAAAAGCCGAAGTAGTAATCAAAACAATATTTAATTATAAATTAAAAAAAGATGATAGCTTCCAGAATGAAATTCAAGCCGAAATGGAAACTAAAAAGGATAATAATGAACAAAAATTAGATGAGAAAGTTTATCCAAAGGAAAATGGTAAATATACTCGGGAGGCGATGGCCCGCTATCTTTATGAGAAAAAGACTGTTCAAAGTCATCAATTTTCGGCAAAAAGTAGTGATAGTCAAAATTCCCCATCCAGCCGAGGGAGTCATTGAGATGAATACAAATGATGATATATTGGCGGAGGAGTTCTAGTGTTAATAGTGGCTGGATTAATGGTGGCGTTTTGAGACAAGTTGACCGGCTCGACAAAAGAGGAGAGTGATGAAAAGTAGTCTACTCATAGGGTAGAAAGTAGTTGATAGATTTAGGTCAGTTTTCATTATTGTTTGCTTTCTTGATTTCCTCATCATTTTGATAATTATTTTCTTTTAAAAAATTTTGGGTAAAAAACTAACGAACTAGGTAAAGATGACTTTTTTTTTGACCGATTAGACGGAATTTAACCACTATAATTTAGCCTTTTTTCAGAAAATTGAATAACTTCTTGATTTTATATTTACTCCTCACTCCGACTTCTTTGACCAAAAAAGCTAGCCAGCAAAGCTTGCATTTCTTGACGCATGGCGGCTAATTCTTCTTTAATGCTTCGGTGTTCCTGGCGAGATTTTGTTAATTTTCTGAGCCTTTTTTAATTTTCCCGTTAAAAACACGGTGGCTAATAGTCCGACCATTAAAGAAATTATAAAAATTGTTCTTTCGTTTTTTTGCCAATTAATTAAACTGGTTTTTTCTTGGCTAATGGTTTGTAATTGATTGTCTTTTTGCCCTAAATATTCTTGAATTATTTGCTGACGGAAATTCACTACTGCTTGGTAATTATCAGCTTGTTGAATTTGCTGGGATAATTTTGGGGATAAGGTAATCCCAAGACGGTGGAACATTTTTAAATCAGCGGCTTTAATAATGGCTAAACTTTCGCCAATTTCAGTAGGTTGGTTTGGTTTTTCTTCCGTGCTTTTCTTTGGAGATGAAGTTTCAGTTTTAGTAATAATCACCGGCGGCTTATTTTTTAGTTCTCTAATTTCTTGCTCCAATTCTCCTATTTTTTGCTCTTTTTTCTGGTTTTCTTGCTTAATTTCTTCATAATCACCTTTGGCACAGCAACTATTAGGACAAGAACAAACATGCTCATCCTTTCAATCCTGTAAATTATCAGCCCTTAACTTCTCATTATCTAAATCAGAGTTTATTTCCACTAAAATTTTGGCTAAAATGGTTTGGGTGGCTTGGAGTTCGGTTTTACTTTTCTTTAAATTAGTAATTTGCTGCTGTTGCTTATTAATGTAAGCCGTTTTTTTGGTGATAGTTTGCTGCTGTTGGTTAATGGTTTGATCCTTCTCAGCAATAGCCTTCTTCTTATCAATTAAGGCAGTTTCTAATTCATCCCGTAGACTTTCACTTTCAGCGGCAAATTCTTGGCTTAATTGAGTTTTTTCCTGAACTAACTCCTTAATTTTTTGGGTGGCTTTTTGTTTTTTGTTGGTTAGAGTAGTTAAGGAATTATTTTTTTGACTAATTAAATCCTGCAATTCGCTGATTTGTCGTTTCGCTTCGCGGTAGAAATTGGCTAAGGTCTCATGGTCTTTAATTCAATTGCTATTTTCCTGGGCTAATTGTTTTTGCTTATTCTTTGATAATTGGTTTTGCTGTTGTAATTCCCCTAATTCTTTTTCATAAAGTTCACGAATTTGGCTAAATAATTCTTCTACTTCGGTTTGTTGGGTTTGGTTTTCACTTAATAAATCCTTTAACTTGTCTACTTTATCTTGTCAACTACCTTTTTCCCTATCTCACTGGCTTTTTTGGGATTTAAAAAAAGTCAAATGCTGATTTAGTAAAAAAGTTAATTGTTTGTTTTTGGCTTGTTCTTGGGTTAAAGTTTTAGCTGATTTAGTTAAATTTTCTTGTAAAAAGTCCCTTCCTAATTTTAACTGTCCCTTATCTTGGAGTAAATTTTCATAGTTGCTGGCTAATTGATTTTTTTCTGACTTTTCTTTTTGTCAAGCTTGGTAATGCTTTTGGTTTTGCTTAATCAAGTGGTTTATTTTTTGTAATTCTTCTGCTAATTTGTTACTTAGTCCTTTGTTTTCCTGCACCAAGTTTCACTTTTCCCTCTTTTGACTGACTAACTTGGCTAAACCTTGGGCAGCTAATTGGTTTAACTGTCTTTCCCGCCATTCTTGGGCTTTGGCTAAGGCGTTCCAATGACAATCCCGCTGGGTTTGGGTTAACTCTAACTCTTTTTCTAGTTCCCGAACCTCTTTTTCTCACTCCTCATCCATGACCTTTATCTCGGCTTGTAATCTTTTTATCTCCTCTTTCTTTTCCTCCAATTCGTCCACTTGATTAGTGAAAATTAATTTTTCCTCGGACTTTTCGCTTTCTAATTGGTTAATTAATTGCTCTTGTTGGTTGGCTAATTGTTGAAGATTTTGGTTCTCAGTTTCTAAAATACTTTCTTTTTGCTGGGTTCGGCTAAGTAGTTCCCGACAATTTTCCAAATAGCAATCTCGCTCTAATTCGGCAAAACTTAATTTGAATCTTAATCGTCTAGTATCATGCTCAAAAATACTGAACAATTGGGGGAGATAATTGATTAATTTATTAACTTGTTGGACTAAATGGTAGATTTCTTGTTCTTTTTTTTGGGTCAGATTAAGCCAAAAAAGTTGAATATGTTGTCGCTGGGAGATTTCGGTTTGGTTCTGGTGGCAAAGTAAGTTGTGAAAAAAGTTTTTTTTAGTTTCATAAAGAACTTGGTAATCTATTTTTGGGGAGATTTGGGTTGCTTTCTCGACCGTCAGGGACGGAAAAGGAAATTCCTTACCTTCTTCCTCAGTCAGAATGCGAACCGAGTTGGGTTTATTCTCACCTTCTCGATACTGACAATGACAAGTTTCCAAAAGAACAGTAAGGAACTTTAAATTCTCTTTCTCTTTCTCTTTCTCTTTCTCTTTCTCTTTCTCTTCGATTAGGAGATTTAATTCATCTCTTTTTTTCCGAAAAGCTGGGGATTTGGAATTAAATTTGACATAAGCACCAGTATGGGAAAAAGAGTCTA